TGCAATGCTTGTGAAGAATTACAGACAATGTAGACCATGCTTTCTAATTTACGCTTCTGTTCAATTATATTAGAACCCAGATACCACAAAATAATCAGAGAAAAGAGAAAACTTGGGCTACTTTGGTCCTGCATAAATTAAGTGCAGATTCTGTGGCATCATAAAATCCGCTGTCTATTCATGCTTTACTGTCAAGTGAAAGTCTTGTAAAATCTGTGCTCGTTGTGCACAGATTGTTAATATGAACCATTGTTCTGGTCATTGGTTTGCATAGTCTTATGTCTTAAAGCCAACCAGGTAATAAAATGCAAGGTCCACTTATTACATCCACCCCCCTCCCCACTCCCCAGCCACATAAAAAAAACCTATAGAGTAAATTTAGAGATAATTTATTCACACCCATCTTCCAATTATTTACGGTAATTGAAATTCTGGGGTAAAGTTGGAAACTTTTTCTGCGCTGGTCTATATGTATTTCATATGAAATTTCTTGCAATATTGTAACAAACTGCATTTGTATTTTTCCTCCCAAAATAGTATTATCCATCCCAAAAACCATCTACCAAGGAAAGAAGGGCTGTACAGACCCTCAAAATGAATACAATTAATAATCAAACCTGCAGACAGGTCAGTCAGTAGTTGTTATGGATACTTCTGATTATATTTTAGAGGCAAACCGAGAACTTTCCAACACAACATACTATAAATGATTAGATACAGACGCCGTACAGCAATACACAAAGTCTCTAAAACGGCTGCTCGATGGGCTCTCCTTGCTGTGTTCAGAAGTATTATAGCTTTAGGCAAAGTAGAGGACTGCAGATGTTCCAGGATTTGTGTTTGCTTGCCCATAGACAATGTAGAAAAGATTATAGTCATAAGAGAAACCCACATTACCAGGCACAGTCCCATGCATGAAGATGGGAGACATGACCACACATCTTGTACGTGGACCAAATATGAATACTGAACACACAATGGTCATATGGAATCCCAGATAAATACTCTTCTATATCATCAGTTGTTGTATGATACTCTGCACAAAATGGCTCTCTACAGGGATCTAAATTGGGAAAGCAAAGCATTGGGAACACAAGACTGTGCACAAAAGACTAACCCACTGTCAATTTATTCTATTTAAAATTCACTGTAACCACCTGTGTAATAGTAATCGGCAAACTGGGCCATATCAAATAACACATGCTAATAATAAAGTGAACTGAATGAGATGGGAAAATCTGGAAATAGAAGGTTATAAGAAAGTCTAATACACTAAAAGAGAGAAACTGACACTAAACTCAGAAGTTAAATCTTAAAAATGCATTCAAGTACCTTAACTAATAACAAAAATGTATCTTATTTGTGTATCACTCAGCTGTAGAGCCTCAAATCATCTCTGAATTGGTGCTGACACTGTCCTTCCTTCTGGAGGGTGGCTACTTCTGTTCCCCATGGTACATGTGTGTTATAAAGTAGCCACCGCTCCAAGCTCACTCCTGTGATGGACTCCAAGCTCACTCATGTTTTAGTTTACTCATTTGTATTGTATTGCAGTCCATCACGGGAGTGAGCTGGGAGTTGTGTCTACAACATACACAGGGACCATGGGGAACAAAAGTAGCCCCCTCCAGAAGGAAGGACAGTGTCAGCACCAATTCAGAGATGATTTCAGGATCTACATCTGAGTGATACACACATAAGATACATTTTTGTTAATAGTTAATGTACGTGAATGTATTTTTAAGATTTAACTCCTGAGTTTAGTGTCACTTGACTTCTCACACAGCAGTGCTTTTGAATTTACCTTACCTCAAATTTTGTAATCATTCACATTTTTGTACAATTCATTTATTTTTTCATTCACATTCTGTTCTTATTGGTCCCTAAAACTCTAGCATCAATGGTACACAATATAGTGGCTCGTAGTAGAGCAAATGTCATTGGTTGATAGGTTGACCAGATCTCCTATCCTCTACCCTTATACCTTTTCTCAGTCCGCATTGTCGCTTTGTTCCCGGAATCCCTTCCCTTCTATCCTCTCAGCCCCCCCTAGAGATACCCTTATACACCAATTACTGCTGTGCACACTCATTCTCAGTGCACATCAAATTTACATGTAACGGGTATGGCTGTGTTCAGAATTGGAGTATTTTTTTCTACCCTTTCACTTCACCTTTTCATTGTTTAAAAAAGCTTATTATTTTTTAGTTAGCCCCTAAACTGTATGAGCTAATAATGATGGGAGTTGTGGCAAATCAATGTGTGTAAAAATAATGAAAATTCACTACAATGGAGACAATAAGGGTGTTGACTGAGGAAAAACATTTCTCCTTTACATACACAAAGTAAGGTTAGAAGAGACTGTGGCTACTTCTAGCAACAGTTTTTTATTTATTTTTTGTACTTAAAACTCACTTGCTATAACTGTTGTGATCAAGCTGACATAAGATGAGTGGAATTGTACTTTGCCAGCGAATGGAGAGGTTTTGTGACATGCAAGTTATTTTATACAATGCCATCCTGGTGGAGAGCTGACTAGTGGTGATCTTTATACAGTCAAATGGCTCAGTAGTTTATGCATAAAGTTTTAGCTTGGTACTGCTATAAATGTATTATATTTAAAGAAGAATGCTGGGTAAAAAGGCCTTGCAGTGGGACTACCCTGGCACTGTAAGGATTATGTACTTATTTTGTCTAGGGGCATAAATAAAGCAGTTTTTGAAACCTGATCCTTGGCCCTGTGACAGTCAGCACTCACTTCTCCCCCCCTCAGCTCCAGCTTTGAAAGGTTCATTGGCTTCCTCATATCTAATGAAGGTCAATGGACCTGCATAAGAGGTGGTGACGTCAGCGGTCCTTAGACCGCAGGAGCCCGAGGCAGAAGAGGTTGCAAAGACTGGTCTAGCAACCAGAGGGAACTGGGATTGAGGATAAGGTGAGTATATCTGCTATATTTGAGCCCCCTAGTAGGTAGGTTTCTTGTTTGCCTGGAGTTCTTTAACTGTATGGTTGTGTCCTGGTGTGTGTGCATGGATGGATGATGGTGGATTTTTCTTTAGTGATCACTGTTGGGGGTTGCTTCCATGACCATTAACACAATGTAACCATAAAGATACGTTGTATTCAGTTTCCGCAATACATGCATTGCTCTGTAATGTCAGCTGTACCAAAGCTGCAA